GGTAGGGCTGGCTTGGCAGTCCTAAAAATAAAATCTCCATTTTTTTCTAACTAATGGACAATTTTCGATTGAAACCTCGATCGTTCTGTGTGACACGAAAAAAAGGGGGAAATCGAATCAACAGATTAAATGTTGTGACTATAACACGAAATGCCGTGAGATTCGGTTGGATAGTCGTGATACGATGCAGAACATCTACTTGATCTATCATTTCAGTAGGTGAAAAGTTGTATCTAAAATGCTGAATCATAACTTTGTCTTAGTATTAAATAGTAGGGTTCTTTCTAGAAAAATATAGTATGAGGGCAATACTGTGGCGCCGATCTTACAATTTATATCAGTTCTCGCAAGAACATGACGCCCGTATACAAGATGGCGCCGTGGATGTAAAAACAAGGCAACGTCAGAGCTCCGTAAAAACAAAGCAGTCTATGCCGTCCGATGGTCTATTTGACATGACTTTAACATTTTTGGAGTAATTATACAGTTGTTGACGTACAGAAATATTGTTCTCTGGCATCACTAACATTTTACGGGGAAAATCTGCATTTTGGTATAACAGCTTTAGACAAAACCCTGAATAGTATGTTATCCTTGTTTGTTTGAATAATCATTTTTAATTCAGTGTAAGGTTACGTACTAGTGCTCATGGAGGTTTCGTATGCAGCGCAGAAATCCCAACGTGTTCTCAGGGTAGGATTTCTTCTTGCCATCCATCTTCTGCAGCAACTCAGGTGGAAACTGTGATCAAAACAAATGTTAGTTAGTTCTAAGTGTTCTTTGTAAAAAGTGGTGGTAAGGATACATTTTTGGTTTCAAAAAGAGAATAAAACTTATGTTGCAGTCACCTTATCTTTCCACTGTTTGAAGGATCCAGCACATTTCTCCAGCGAAGAAATTAATTCCTTGTCTGCAGTTCGACAGTTTTCTGCCTCCTTCCTGTTTCCCATTTTTCTCAAGTATTCTATTCTCCTGAAAGATTAAAATGTTTTTTAGACTATTTAGAAAAGATTTATACTATTTATAGAAAAGTTGAATAACAACAGCATATTAGTTTAATAATCATAACCAATTGGCGATATGTTTAAAATGGTTGTACCTGTCAGGGGTCCAGAAGAAGGGGTGCCTCAAGCATTCTTCCACTTTAGGTCTGTTCTTTGGTTCTGCATCAATCATCCACTCAATGAGGTCTTTTGCCAACACGTCTTGAACATGCTCCAAAGTGTAGTTCCCTTCATCAATGTTGTACTCACATTTATGGGGTTTGTCACCGAAAGGATGGTGTCCTCCAGAGAGGATATAATAAATCAGCATCCCTGCCACCTTAAGAATAAACACAACATTTAAGCAATTGAGGAAGTATTTGTACAAATAGTGACCAATAACATTTGTGTAGCAGAACGACTGACCTGTATGTCAGAGTTTGACTTGTACCCTATCTTAGTGTTGTCCTTTTCTGATAAAGTCTCCTTGGCCATCCAGCATCTTGTTCCTGCTT